ACTGTGTGATAACTTATGATGAAAAAGAATATGAAACATGCATACCAGAAACTAACACAATATTGTGAATCAACCATTCTTCAACTTTAAAACCTTGATTAAAAAAATAAAGAGTATGAAAACAGCTGCCATTAAACAAAACTTTCAAAATGATCTCTTTCGTTGCTGTTTTCTGAGCAATTCTCTATTAATTAAATGCAACCCTGACTCCCCGCATCAGCACCCCTTCATCTGACCCCATACCTGACTTTCCCACCCCATCGCCCTCTGTTTTTCAGTAAAGCTGGGAAACATGTCCCAAGTCTGTCCCCCTGGGACTCCTTCTCCTGTTTCCCTTGCTTGTTGGCATAACACCCACTCTTCAAGTCCTAGTTGCCACCTCATGTCCAGGAGGTCTTTCCTGATTTCTCACCTGGGAGATTGCTAGGCTCCCCAGCTCCTCATGGCCCCTGCCTGTGTGAATTCTCAGTGTGGGGGCTCCTGGGACCTCCCATTGAACGAGGCAAACTCAACTTCTAGACTCTCCCAAACCAGTGCCTCCAAAAGATTCCTCTATCCCAGTCAACAGAATCACACCCTTTGGCGAGTTTGTTTCAAACCCCCACCCTTGACTCCCACTTCCACACATACCCTCCTCCAAACCATCAGCAAGCTGGGCCACCCTTCCCCCCAAGAGTGTTCCAAACCTGGCTCTTGTTTGTTAACTAACACCCCGAATCAGCACCATGGCCTCTGCACAGCCAGGGGACCCCTGCAGCCTTCTCCCCAGTGGTTCCCAGTCCGCCCGCTTCCTTCTGAATCAGCTGAGGATTCAGTTCGAGTTGTGGGAGGCCTTGCTCCACCTCCCAGAGGTCCACCCTGTGCGGTCAAGACTGGGGATCCTGTTCTGACGGGTCTCCAGTCTCCGGTTCTGCCCTCTCTGGGCTCCTCCCCTCACAACATCTAGAGGGATCCTATTTAAAAATATCACCTGCTTGCTCAAAACTTTCCATGGACAGCAAGGGTCGCAACAGACAAAAGGTTAGAAACAGCTCAACTGTCCACCAACAGATGAATGGATGAACAAATTCAGTGCGTGTACACAGTGGATTATTTAGCTACAAAAAGGAATGGAACGCTGATACATACAGCAGGAATAAACCTTGAAAGCCTTATGCTAAGTGAAAAAAGCCAGATACAAAAAGCCATATTTAAATGAAAGATCCAGAAGAGGCAAACCCAGAGACAGAAAGAACACTGATGTTCACCGGGGGCCAGAGGGGGGAAATATGAGGAGGGACTGCTTAATGGGTATTGGCTCTTTCCTTTTGGGGTGATGAAAAAGTTCTGGGAACTAGACAGTGGTGGTTGTACAACATTGTGAATGTACTTAATGCCACTGGATTGCCCATGCTGAAATGGGTGACGGGACTGCCCGGGTTGTCCCGTGGCTAAGAATCCATGCTCCCAGTACCTGAGGCCTGGGTTCGATCCCTGGTCAGGGAACTAGATCCCTCACATCACAACTAAGAGCCAGCACAGCCAAACAGGTAAATAATAAAAGTAAACATTAAATAAAATGGGTGAAGTGGTAAATTTTGCATTATAAATACGACAATTAAAAAAAAATTTCCACAACCTTTTATGTCACCTTGGATAAAAGTCCCAACTCCTCCATAGCTCTCCACTCTCCTCTCACTGATTTCCCACTGGCTCACTGTCACCTGTGGCTCACAGCCACCTGTCTGCCACCCTGCTGTTTTTCAAAGCACCTTTTGCTTTTTCCTACCCCTCATTTGGGGCTCAGTGGTAAAGACTCTGCCTGCCAATGCAGGAGACTCAGGTTCGACTCTTGGGTCGGGAAGATCCCCTGGAGAAGGAAATGGCAACCCACTCCAGTACTCTTGCCTGGAGAATCCCATGGATGGAGGAGCCTGGGAGCTACAGTCCACGGGGTCGCAGAAGAGTAGGACACGACTTAGCCAACAATCTCTCTTTTGACCTTAAAGTTTGTCAGTATCTCTGTCTTGCCCTTGAATCTCTCCTGCTGTTACAAAGTTCACACATGTAGAGCTGTCATTTACATCCTGGGTCCCCCTCCCGTGGCACCATGACTATTAAGAGAAGTCAGAGTTTGTTGAGTGACGAACTGCTTGCTTGATTGGAGTGGATTCTTTACATCCACTTTCTGGCATCACACCCTGTCTTCATACCTTCCCCTCTGAAATCACACCTTGTCATTCCCTGGCTCAAAACCCTCCATGGGCTCCCATGAGTTGAGAACAGGAGTCTGCAAAGTACAGCCCACAGACCAAATCCAGCCCCACCACCTGTTTTTGTCTGGCCCATGAGCTAAAAAAGTTTTGTTACATTTTTAAATGGTTGGGGAAAAAATCAAAAATGAAAGCAATTTGGAGAATGCATGAATTATATGAAATTTTGGAGAAGGAAATGCAACCCACTCCAGTATTCTTGCCTAGAGAATCCCATACACAGAGGAGCCTTCCTGGCTGTAATCCATAGGGTTGCACAAAGTCGGACACAACTGAAGCAATTTAGCACAGGAGATTAAAGTTTCAGTGTCTATAAGTAACGTTTTATTGAAACACAGCCTCAGGCACACACTTGTTATCCAGGCCTGCTCTTATGCTACAATAATAGGGTCTCATAGTTGCAATAGAGACCATACATGGTCCTCAAAGTGAAAAAGTTACTCAGTTGTGTCTGACTCTTTGCAACCCCATGGCCTATACAGTCTGTGGAATTCTCCAGGCCAGAATACTGGAGTGGGTAGCCTTTCCCATCTCCAGGGGATCTTCCCAACCCAGGGATCGAACCCAGGTCTCCTGCATTGCAGGCAGATTCTTTACCAGCTGAGCCACAAGGGATGGTCCTCAAAGCCTAATATAATTACTACCTGGTCCTTTACAGAAGGGCTTCCCCAGATGGCTGAGTGGAAAAGAATCTGCTGGCCAATGAAGGAGACACCTTTGTGGGGAAGATCCCCTGGAGAAGGAAATAGCAACCCGCTCCAGTATTCTTGCCTGGAAAATTCCACGGAGGAGCCTGGCAGGTTACAATCCGTAGGGTCACAAAGAGTCGTACACGACTGAGTGACTGAACATGCATGTACATTTACAAAAAAATCTCTGCAAGTCCCTCTCAGATGAAAATCCTGTACCTGGCCTGCAGAACCCCCTCCAGCCTGGTCCCTGAATCTCTGAGCTCGAGGTCTTTGCTCAGCACCCATCTGAGCTCCCTTACCCTTCTGGGACATCGCCTGTTATTTCCTTCCTAGGACACAGCACAACACATAAGCTCCTTAATTCTTCACTTAGTTACTTTTTGCTTGTGTACAAAGGAAGGAACTCTGTGAATCTGTTCACTAATATTCCCCAGGCTACCACAGACCTGGGTACTATAGTAGCTGCTCAATAAATATTTAGCCAATGAATCACTTTCTTCTTACATAAAGGAGTTTCTCTGCAACATCTTCAGTAGATCAACCATGGCCCTGATTTGTATTTTGTAGCTTCTTGCAATGTACAATGTCATAATTTATGTACAAACAGAGAAAGTTGTATACATATATAATTTATATACAAATTGGAGAAGGAAATGGTAACCCACTCCAGTGTTCTTGCCTGGAGAATCCCAGGGACGGCGGAGCCTAGTGGACTGCTGTCTATGGGGTCACACAGAGTCAGACACAACTGAAGTGACTTAGCAGTAACAGCAGAGAAAGTTAACAACAGTCATTATATCTATGGCAATATAGAGAAATATAAACAAAACAGCTTTCCCCTTCAACTGTTTATTGACTCCAGTCACCTGACCTACTTTGGGCTCCTGAAAATGTGCCACTTTCATCTTGTCAAACTAGTTCCCACCCTTTCAGGACCTTCGCACCTGGTCCTTCTGCTTCAGAGCCAGGACCAAAGGTCACCTTCTCCAGGAAGCTCTCTAGGATCATGCCACATCCCAACAGTGATTTGCCTTCCCAACACTTACCATATTCTAAAATTAAGTGTTGTATTTCCTTTTAAGGTAGGAAACGTGTTGTTTTCATATATACAGTTACCACCGCAGAGTCCAGAGCAGGTCCGGAATTCAAGACTCTCTCAATGCTTGTTTGAGTGACTAAAATCCCTTGAGTTTCTGTACACATTTTTAAAATAGTTTGTTCAGTTCAGTTCAGTTCAGTACAGTTGCCCAGTCATGTCTGACTCTTTGCGACCCCATGAATAACAGCACGCCAGGCCTCCCTGTCCATCACCAACTCCTGGTTGTTACTGGGTATAAAAAGATGCTTAATCTTTTATGGACGGGGGGATTTTTGCAGAAAATAAGCCTGTGGCTGGTGATTTGTTATGTGATATTGATACAGCTCTGGTCAATGATGTGTTAATATATACTTGCTAAGTAACTAGAGTGACTTCTATGAGCCTCCACCTCCTTTTAAAGCCACTCCCACCTCCAACTCTCCTCAGAAGAAATCAGCAGTGTCTGGCAGCATCATCTTTACCTTAAAGAGCAGCTTAACCCATTGAGTTTACTACCTCCAGGCGCTGATACAATCTTTATATCATTTAATTAATCCTCCCAATTATGCATGAGGTTCTATTATTACCTTCATTTTACCGATGAAGAAACCGAGGCAGAGAGATTAAGTAACGTACTCGTCTGAAAAAGGAAGACTTTCATAAGAAAAATGAACTCTAAGCCCTCCCAACCTCAAATTTCAAGAAACAAATACTGTGGGAAAGGGAATCAAGGCAGACAGGAAACACTCAAACGTGATCCGAAATCAGTTTCACAACAACAAAACAGGACAGTAAAGCCCCCAAAGACATCCCAGACTTGGGGGCGATTTGGTCAAAACTCAAATTCTCAAATGATCTCAGGCCACCAAAGCTCGTATTTCCCAGCCAGTACTGCAAGTCCCAAACCTGGTCGTCACCCTTGACCTCTGCTCTCCATCTCCTCTCCCATTTCCCATCCGGGAGCTCCGTAGGATTTACCTTCTGAGCGTCTTACACTGTCGACTGCGGCCACGTAACTCCATTCTACAGAGGTGGTGGCCTGCTCCAGATCCACCATTAGCTGTTATCTGGGCAGGACAACCACCAGCTCCCAGGCCTCAGTCTGCTCCCATCCCCCACTCTCAGCAGCCAGAGGGATCTTTTGAAATTTCAATTTGGATCAGGACACACCCCCATTTCCCGCCCCCAACCTCCAAAACCCTTTCAAAGATTTCCCATTGTTCTCAAGTCAAAGTCTTTCATTCTTAACCAAGCCTTCTGGGGTTTGCAGGATTCCCTTTCCCAAAGTCAGCTTAGGTCTCACCTCCAGCCAGACCCCTGCCATCTTGGGAGGCTCTGATACCAACAAGGTTTCTGACCCGATTCAAATTCTGACCCTGCTATTCATTCTCTGTGTGACCTTGTGCAAGTAACTTAACCTCTCTGGGAAAATGTGAATTGTAATGTAGTGTTGACAAGAGTCAATTAGTTCCTTTCAGTTCGGTTCAGTCGCTCAATCGTGTCCGCCTCTTTGCGACCCCATGGACTGCAGCCTGCCAGGCCTCCCTGTCCATTGCCAACTCCTGGAGCTTGCGCACTCTCATGTCCATCGAGTCGGTGATGCCATCCAACCAACTCATCTCTGTCGTCCCCTTCTCCTCCTGCCTTCAATCTTACCCAGCATCAGGGTCTTTTCAAACAAGTCAGTTCTTCACATCAGGTGGCCAAAGTATTGGATTTTCAGCTTCAGCATCAGTCCTTCCAATGAGGACTGATTTCCTTTAGGATTGATCTCCTTGCAGTCCAGGGGATTCTCAAGAGTCTTCTCCAACACCACAGTTCAAAAGCATCAATTCCTCAGTACTCAGCTTTCTTTAGAGTCCAACTCTCACATCCATACATGACTACTGGAAAAACCATAGCGTTGACTAGAAGGACCTTTGTTGGCAAAGTAATATCTCTGCTTTTTAATATGCTGTCTAGGTTGGTCATAACTTTTCTTCCAAGGGGCAAGCATCTTAATTTCATGGCTGCAGTCACCATCTGCAGTGATTTTGGAACCCCAAAAATAAAGTCTCTCACTGTTTCTATTGTTTCCCCATCTACTTGCCGTGAGTGACGGGACTGGATGCCATGATCTTAGTTTTCTGAATGTTGAGTTTTAAGCCAACTTTTTCACTCTCCTCTTTCACTTTCATCAAGAGGCTCTTTAGTTCTTCTTCGCTTTCTGCCATAAGGGTGGTGTCATCTGTGTATTTGAGATTATTGATATTTCTCCCAGCAATCTTGATTCCAGCTTGTGCTTCATCCAGCCCAGGATTTCACATGATGTACTCTGCATTTAAGTTAAATTAGCAGGGTGACAATATACAACCTTGATGTACTCCTTTCCCAATTTGGAATCAGTCTGTTGTTTCATGTCCAGATCTAACTGTTGCTTCTTGACCTGCATACAGATTTCTCAGGAGGCAGGTAAGGTGGTCTGGTATTCCCATCTCAAAGAATTTTCCACAGTTTGTTGTGATCCACACAGTCAAAGGCTTTGGTGCAGTCAATAAAGCAGAGATAGATGTTTTTCTGGAACTCTCTTGCTTTTTTGATGATCCAACAGATGTTGGCAATTTGATCTCTGGTTCCTCTGCCGTCTCTAAATCCAGCTTGAACATCTGGAAATTCATGGTTCACATACTGTTGAAGCCTGGCTTGGAGAATTTTGAGCATTACTTTGCTCGCATGTGAGATGAGTGCAATTGTGCAGTAGTTTGAACATTCTTTGGCATTGCCTTTCTTTGGGATTGGAATGAAAACTGACCTTTTCCAGTCCTGTGGCCACTGCTGAGTTTTCCAAATTTGCTGGAATATTGAGTACAGCACTTTCACAGCATCATCTTTTAGGATTTGAAATAGCTCAACTGGAATTCCATCACCTCCACTAGCTTTGTTCATAGTGATGCTTCCTAAGGCCCACTTGACTTCACATTCCAGGATGTCTGGCTCCAGGTGAGGGATTACATCATCGTGATTATCTGGGTCATGAAGATATTTTTTGTATAGTTCTTCTGTGTATTCTTGCCACCTCTTCTTATATCTTCTGCTTCTGTTAGGTCCATACCATTTCTGTCCTTTACTGAGCCCATCTTTGCATGAAATTTTCCCTTGGTATCTCTAATTTTTCTGAAGAGATCTCTAGTCTTTCCCATTGTATTGTTTTCCTCTATTTCTTTGCATTGATCACTGAGGAAGGCTTTCTTATCTCTCCTTGCTATTCTTTGGAACTCGGCATTCAGATGGGTATATCTTTCTTTTTCTTCTTTGCCTTTAGCTGGTCTTCTGTTCCCAGCTGTTTATAAGGCCTCCTCAGACAACCATTTAGACTTTTTGCGTTTCTTTTTCTCGGGGATGGTCTTGATCACTGCCTCCTGTACAATGTCACAAACCTCCATCCATAGTTCTTCAGGCACTCTGTCTATCAGATCTAATCCCTTGAATCTATTTGCCATTTCCACTGTATAATCATAAGGGATTTGATTTAGGTCATACCTGAATGTTTCCTTTAGTAATAGTATTTATTTGGCACAGTGTCTGGCACTACTTAGCTGTCACTATTGTTAGCAGAAATCTCCTACTCATCCTTCAAAACCCAACACGAAATTCATTTCTTCAGGGTACCCTTCCTGGAATCACTTTCCAATTAATTAGACTGCCCTCTGCTATTTGCTACCTTCATGCTGCTATGGCAATCATAAATGAATCCTTAATACACTTAATAGCTGGATATAAAGACATCATTGATTCCTTATTTAGTGTCTATTTTGTTCAATTCTGTACCTCCTTTGCACACAGTAGGTGCTCAGAAGTAATCTGGTGAGTGTTGAACACAGACTGGCTGAATGAATCAACCCTAAGGATGTCCGAATCTGCAGTGTTCAAGAAGAAGAATTAGGAAAGTTGAATTTTAATGAGAATTCAAGAAAACTGGAGCCAGCATAAGGGAACTTGGGAGGAAAGGGGGTAATGAGGTTCCAAAAAGGAAGCTACAGTGATTTGGTATGTAAAGCAAAAGTGGGAGGGGCTGTGTGCAGGGAATTCCGGAGAATTCCCAGGAGAGCAACTCAAGTGTTACCCTGGGGCAGGAAGCTTCCTGGGATCTGGGTCTTTCCGCGTACTTCTAGCCCTTTCTCCTTGCTCTCACCCGCCCACCCCCGCCACCTCATCCCCACTCTCCCACCTCCCTGGCTCACCAGCTCCAGTTCCTCTTGTCCTAGCTGTACCCCAGGCCTCAACCAGCCTAACGTCAGAACCTGTAAAGTGTGGCCAGGTTTAGCAGATAAAAATAGAGGACACCCAATTTAAAGTTGAAAACTTCTGGCGCCACCAACTCTTAACTCTCTGGTCCCATCAAACTCAACCCAGTAGGGTCTTGTCTTAATTACCTTTCTGTTTTGGAGTCCTGAGCCTCCTTGGAAGAGTCATTCAACCCCTCTGACCTGCTTCTGCCTCTGGGTAAGAGAGATAGGCGTGTCAACCAGCCAGGGTGGAGTTAGGACTCTGAGAAAAAGACCTGCCCGGATCTTTGCACCCAGTACAGATGCCATAAAGAGCAACCAGTGAGGCCATTCTTCTACTCCCTTCTCCTGATGTCATCTCCTGGGGTCTCACCAGGAAGCTTTCAATATGAATGGCTGAACCCATTTTACAGAGGAGGAAAACTGAGGTCAGCCAATCAGAGGAGGGCTAAGAGGAGAATTCCGTCTTTGGGACTGTCATGCTGTAGCTCTTCTTGACTATCAGATGCGAATGTACAGTAAACTATAAGCAAAAGGAAGGCAGGGACTTGCCTTGGGTTCTGATGATGGACTCCCAGAACCCAGCACAGTACCTGGCTCTCAGGAGGTGTGGCATAAAGATCAATGGAACTGGGGACTTCCCTCGTGGTCCAGTGGCTAAGACTCAGAGCTCCCAATGCAGGGGGACCAGGTTCAGTCCCTGGTCAGGGGGCTGAATCCCACACGCCACAACGAAGAGTTCACAAGACACAACTAAAGATTCCACATGCTGCAACTAAGAGCTGGTGCAGCGAAATAAATAAGTATTCAAAGAAAGATCCATGGGATGGGTGAGCACAGGCCCATCGGAGTCCCCATTTTGTGAGAGTACATGCTCTCGTGTGCTCTCTCCCTTTCTCTCTGCATGCCCTGGGTGTCCAGCCCATGTCTGCCTTTCTGTAGTTTCTCCATCACCCCATCTACATTGGGCTGGTGAGGGGAGCAGAGGAGGATTAAGCTTAAGGCAGATTTCTGTGTGTGTGTGTGTGTTTTTCTTTTTCTAAAATGAAGCAAAATGACAAAATGCAATTCAAAAGGAAAGAGCCATGACCCTGGGGTGTCAAGATGCCCATTTTGGCTGCTGTCTGCCTGGGAAGGAGAAACCTCCGAGAACTTGAATTCAGCACAGTCCCATTCTGCTTTCGTTAGACACCCAATGTTTCCCCATCTGCGGCAAGTTGTCCTAAAACAATTAGGAGATAAAGGAATTTTCAGAATAGGATTTTGAGGGTATCTGAGGAGCTGTGTTGAATCCAGCCCAGAGAGCCCACTCAGAATGTGGAACCACGGCATGGTCATGTGGATTAACCCTCTTGGAGAGGCACTGGTGGGTTTACAGGGGCAACCACGGTACCTGTTCTTAACTGCTCCCACCTGGACCTAAAGTCAGACAGAAACACTGGGGTCTGACTTAGGGAATTATTTTCTGTTTCTCAGCAATGTTTTCTTCATTTGGAGACAGGAATTGGATGGTCGTGGGGTGTGATAAAAGAAGTCTGGAGTTTTAAAACCAGTTTGACCAGAAGTCACGCTCTTTCTAGGTAACCTGAATTAACTTGCCAGTGTTATAGGTTCATTAAATTCTCACCTTTGGGGCACCTCCCCCATGGCCAGCGGCAGCCTAGTCATGGCTCTTGACCTGACCAGTGGACCTTTCTCCACGAACGTCCCCTGGAGGAAAGAGCCTTCAGCTCCAAGGTCACCTCCTCCCAGAGGCC